AAATGACCCAAAAAGATCAGAAAATGACTAGGTGCTTACGCCAAAAAATCTGTAATGTTTGAGTTTTTACTCTAATGGACTACCCTGACATTACGTAATTAAACACGTATACTACAATTCTTTATTAACAAAACTTGAGATAAAATGTTTGAATATACTTTTTTAGGAACTAAAAGAATATTTGAGAATTAAGAAGGATCTCCCACTAAAATCCCTCAAAAATCTATATTGAGCATTTAAAGAGATAATCATAAGTATCATAACTGACAAATATACGTACGTACGTGCAGTCATGAATCGTAGATACGTATATTACATATTGTAGATACGTGCAGAGGTAGAGATGCACAAAGTCTGAGTATTAAGCATTTAGACAAACCTCACAATGATCTCTCAGAAGCATTGTAGATACATGCATAAAGCCGAGTGTTACAAATTACAGATTCTGTACGTGCAGATAAAGCCAAAGATTACACATTGTAAATACGTGTGTGCATAAAGCCGACAACTTAAAATTTGCAGTACATTGAAACTATGTGTGCCAACGCTGACACTAAGCATTTTTGTAAATAGAAATATGATCGATTACACATGATCTATCATCTGATAAATTTGAAGGCAATTACACCCTGACATCTGTGTCACTCATAGTCCGGGCAAAATTTGTGAATAACGGCAATTTGGCTCAACCGGGCAAATTGCCGTATTCACAAATTTGCCCGATAGTGGTGTTATCCGACAATTTATGATCATTATTGGTAGGGAGTCACTCTCTGAGTTTTTTTTTTGAATAATGGAAAAACATAATTACATCGTAACACATGAAAAAAAATAACAGAAAAGAAGTTTTTCATGATCATATGAGTTTGTCGGATAACAATTATTATTGGCTAAAAGTCTTTTGTGCTGATCATTTGTTCGAAACTCTAAAAGATTCATAAAAAAAATCATAACTCTGTAAACTTCTCTAAAACTACAATGTCATAATTTTTTTTCGTAGATTGTGCCTGTAGAAAGACTTTAGCAATATTAGATGTTTTTAGATGTCTCACGTCATAATTAAAAAATGAAACAATAAATTAGAAAAGAATGAACAAGCAAAGATGACTATTATTTTATTGATTTAATTTGTTTTTTTGTAGCAAATACGTATCATAAGTTTTTAAAAGCCTACTGATAAAAGAACTCAATAGATAACTCGTATATATAGCTTGTGGATTAGTCTTTTTTATATATGAAAAATTTTCAAGAAAAGATATGTTTTTTCCATCTAATTTTTGGATAATAAAGTTCAGTTCATTCATAATTTCAGATGCTGATGGACGTTTTAAAGGATCATCATCCCAGCATTTCTTCATTAATTCAAAAATTTCTTTTGGGGTACCTTCGATGAAATCAGGACGAAGACCATCCATTATATCTAAAATAAGAATTGCATTATGTTCTCTATCATAAAAAGGTTTATATCCGCTCATAACCTCCCATATAATTATTCCTAAGCTATATATGTCGGATTTTTTGGTATAACGCCCATATTTTAACACTTCAGGAGCAATATATGAAATGACGCCGTAAACTTCGCTACGGTCGGATGATGCATTCACTTTACTGATTCCAAAATCACTGATTTTAACGTCAATGCCAAGATCATCGCTATTAATGAGTATATTCCCACTATGAAGATCACAATGAATGATATCTTTCTCATGAAGTTCTCTAAGATTCCATACTATATGATGTGTTATGTTCAACCTTTCGTTCCAAGATAAAGTGTTATTTTTCAAAAGATAATTGTGCAAATCTCCATGTATTGCGAATTTCATGACGACCATGTATTTTTGATTTTCTGAATGTCGCGTTATACCATAAATCTTCTGGAAAGGTGAATTTGAAAATTCTTTTTCGCAATGATCGTAGACCATTAACTAACAAAAAAAAAAAAAATTTTTTTTCTGCTTTGTAACTTATATTTAATATATATATGTCGAAGATAAAAAAAAAAAAAGCATATATATTACCAACCTCATTTAAAAAAAAACGATTACTATTTCCAGGACCTTCAATATCCTTAAGAACTACCTGAATTACTTGAGTTTCGTTTATTTTCCAAGTAGCTTTATATATTTTACTAAATCCTCCTTTAGCAATATACTCAATGTTAGAAAATTGATTATATGGGATATATTTTAATCCGAAGATAGTTTGCGTCTCTCTAACGACTGGTTTATACTCGTTTGGTATTTTATTACAACTTTTGAACTTGCATTTTATGATTCCAATAATTAAAGGATTTTTAATAAATTTCGTGCACAGAAAGCCAAATTCTGTAAATTGAAGGTAATGTAAAAATAGATTATTTAACGTAGTAAACATTATTGCAAATTATAAATTTTTTGAAAAATCTATAAAGTAGATAAAAAAGAATTCACGAATTTAAATTATAAAATACAATATCTTATTTGATCATTGAGTGTCAAGGACATAGATAAGACGTGAATACAATTCCGAATTGGTCATCTTTTGTCGATACATGCATATCTATTTAATAAGGCGCGTTGAGATATACACATACTAAATATGTAATTTGTTTTGCAATTCTTTTATAAAATCGAAGAGTAGAGATAAGGTTTGAATACACAGACATTGATACTTGCATAGTCACTTAATTCACCAAAGACATTCTTTTTATCCCTAAGTGACCCTTATAAAGTACCCTCTATATTAAATTTTTTAAGTGCACGGTACAGTTTTGCCTTCTATAAATGCGTACCCTCTCCAAGTGTACACCCTCTCTGAATGCAAAATTGCCCCAAGAGGGGCGCACTAAGGGAGGCTTCTCTGTAAAATAAAATAAATTTAATAATATAAAAAAATATATATATACTGGTTTTTAAACTCAAAAAAAAAAAAAAATCTTGAAAAAAAATCCGCTAAAGAATAAACCATGAGTAATCATCAAAGTAAGATTTTAACAAATTATTCATAATATTTTGTACAAAAATTTAATTTTTTTTTATCTCAAAATTATATGCCATTGAATTAGCAGAATCACCACAAGATAACATAGATAACCTTGAATTAGGCGGTTCGCCACAAGATGGCACAGATGACATTCAATTAGGTATTCCACCACAAGGCGTTGAATCGTATAATTATTATCTTTTGCAACCAGACTATTTTTCTTTCTACGGCTATTATCCTGATAGTGAGTATTTTTTTTTAAAAAAAAAAGAGTTAATTCAAAAATAAAGTTTATTATTTGATTTTTATCTCCGTTAGATTACCAATCGCCAAACTTTACCCAAGAAAATCGAGCGGATACAGCCATCGACCAAGGAGGTCCTATCCGCAGTTCTAACTCTGATTCTAGAAGACAAAGAAGAACATCGTCTTTACCTTACGTAGGTAATCGAAGAGTTAATAACAGAGATCGTGGTAGAAAATACGGTTGCGATCAATGCAGTTACCGCTGCCAATATCCATATCAATTGGAAAATCACTTGGAAAAAGAACATTAGTCACGTGTGATTATAACGAGGGCAATTTTACATATATATAACATAATTGTAAATGATTGATATGAACTTCAAAATAGTGACTATTGCGGAAGTTGACCGTAAATCTTCTCGCAGGACTAGTTCTACTGTATTATTTACATCCAACCATTTTTTTTCCCCACTCATGTTTTTTAAAATACATTATTTTTCATATTCATATATAATATTTATATTTATATTCGTATCTATATTCACGATCTGTATTTTTTTTTTTTTTTTTTTTTTTAACGATCTGTATTTTATTTATTCACTTATAACACTTATAAATAAACTAGCCCTATTTTTTAACTAACGAATTTAACTAAAGAATTTATATAAGTATTGTGAGTGATAAGAGTTAATTTCTACATAATATATTAATTTGAAACTAACTCGAATAACGAATAATAAATTTATCTAAAATTAATCAATGACCAATGATTATTTATTATGGAAACATCTAATCCTGACACTAACTCTTAGGCCGAGCGTTTAATCATGTGATGTGATGATCACGAAAATATCACTGGGTTAATGTTCTTGAAACTACCCTTTCTATATTAATGTGTTTGTTATTTTATGACTAATATTATCTCAATTATACTAGTTTGGGCACATAAACAATCTGAACGACCAAATGTTAATGTTTTTAATATCGAGCTTATAAGGCTAAAATGAATTAGAGAACTCTAACAATAGTGATATAACCGATGATGAGAACGGTCCGTTCGTGTGACTCCTTCATTCTTCCCGTCAGAAGATAGCCTGAGTGCGATAAAAACAAATCAATGAGAGAAAAAGCATGGAAATTCTTTGAAATCCATACTAAACTTGATGATCCTCTTGCTAAATATTGGGAAGGTTACTATTTAAAAATAAAGGAGTGAAGGATCAAAAGAAATAGTAAGGCTTTTTAAGGAAGCTGCTAATGAAAGCGTTCTAGATGCACAATTTCATTGTGCATTTGCGAAGTTGAATTGGAAGTTGATAATGTCAAAGAGTTCCTGTTGCTACGGGTAAATCAAATGGCAATTGGAAGACCAAATTAAATACAAGAAATAATGAATAAGGCAGCTCGCCAAAGGTGTGACACGATAATTTGACATTGAAGAAATTTAAACGATTAAGACTTTAAACTTTATTTGATTACACTTGAGGATTTTATTTAACAAAAATATTTGTTGTTAAAATTTTAGCCCGAAGGTCTTATCCAACGGTGAAATTACAGCATTTTTATAAGTTTACCTCTCAAGAACTTTGGTTAAATGTTTTTACATTCTTAACAGCCAAATTCTTTAAGAAATTCTTTAAGAAAGGGGTCGGATATTTAACCAACATATTATGATCACCCTTTATTTACACGCTTATTTACTTAGCCATTAATTGTCACTTATCTATGAGTCTTATTACCATAGTACCAATCTTGACAAAATTTTTACTTGAATTTTATATAAATCAAATTTGGTTTTGTTCTCAGAATAACACTGTGTCTCGTGATTAACTGATTATCGTCGATCATCTGGTAACTTCGTGAAGTGCCGGGCTATAGACGACCTCATTATTAGAGGTGCGGACATTTCTCAGGTCTATCCTCTTACATCATATGGATAGTTACCCCGTTACGGCTATGTCGTATGTTATTTCATGTTCCAATTCCGCACCAATGTGATTTATGCATTGATACATATCATCTAAAAGTAAAGGCCAATTTGCGTGATTTTTTTTTTTTTTGTGTGTGCTATTTCACACAATGAATATTTAGAGTTGTGAAAACAATATAAAATTTTTATTCATGTTTTTGTATATATGTATAAATTAATAATAAAATCGTAAAATACAGACACTTGTACTCCCATGGCGTGTACCCTCTACTGTACCAGTTTTAAGAACCAGTTGGTGATTTATACCTGGGTACATAGGTATTATACATACTATATGTATCATCCCAGGTAAAGATATAGTAAAACATATTGTCTCTATACAGTGTACCCCATAGCAACCATAGCAAGGCCCATCAAGCCTAGAACTCTTTAAGCCTTCCCGCATACTACCAAATTTAGCCACGACACTTACTTAAGCAGAATCGGTTCTACCTATAGAGGTACCCGGTGTTGAAGAGCAGTCAGATCATGCGACAGGATAGTCTCAAAACAGTAAACTAAAGAACAATAGATAAAGGCTATAGGTAAGGTTATATGAACAGGATTAATGGATGTAATAGGTGGACGGAAGATAGAAATGTACAAAGATATACTTGTATAATAGGTAATACTACAGATACATGCACTTAGCAAGTATATACACATAATCCAACATAATAAAACAATACAATATAACTCAAGTAACAAAGTTCAAAGGATACGATACAATTAAGAATCACTCAGATGTCTTTATTATAAAGGAAGGATCACTCAGATAGAGCCTGAAGATACACGCAAGGCGAATATATCGGTCTTTATACATGTTTGTTAACTAGAATTCCCCGATACATTCATCGGGTCAGCTTCCTTCCACCATTACAAATGCCTCGCGTCTTAATCTAATTTAAGACTTACACCTGAAATATTAACCTTTCAACACTCCTTTATCAACGCTTCATCAGGCTGGCAGATTGTCGATAATAATAGAAAGCCTGGTGCTAACATGAGTAATCCATCATACACCTAGAGGACACGTCGACTAGACTTAGTTTGGGTGTGTTATAGTCACCAAAGGGGCAGGGTGTTCCAGGTATAACTTGTGTGTTGGGGATATAGAGATTATACCCTAACGCGTCCATAGACTACAACAATATGATTAATATTTTTGGTAATAGCGTAGGGTGGGTATAAGGATTATAATTTAGGAAGGAATGGACAGTAAGATGGTTTAAGGTTTAAAGGTGATGATGGGAATGACGATCATAAGGAAAATTTGGACGAGAAAGTTATAATAGTAACACAAAAATTGAGCAATAAAATACCCATGGTACACATGTCCGTATTTATGGTAAATTTTCATGAGAAAATAATCTAATTATATGTGAATGAGAAATGAAAAAAAAAGTTCTAATTTGTTTCATATGAACAGAGAACAAAATAATTTAAATTGTTCTTTCCCCTTTTACATTCACCCAAAAAATATAGATCTTTTCGCCAATCGGGAACCTCATCTTTTGGATAATCTTATCAAACATATCGATCATTCCAAACATCTTATTGTATGATAACCACTAACCTGAATAAAACCAGATTAATCAAACAAAACTCATATGTCTTCTACTTTAAACTATTGAATGTTGCCCTGTAAGATTCAGGGGAAATACCATCGTTTTAAACAGTCTCAGGGTCAATGTTCACCGAATTAAAAGGTGATGATCTAGAATTATGCGTTAAATGTGAATTGTAACTTACCAATGTGAATGTATCGATGTTTAAAGAACGATTGATATAGTTTTATACTTGTTACTAGAATCTAAAAAAAAATCATGTTGAGTAACTCAGCTGAAAGGGGAAAAGTGCGGCACTTCGTTCGACTTGTCAATAACAGGCCTATGGCTTTTGGCTTTCTTTCTTATAGGACGACTCTAAATTTTTTTTTACCTTAATGAAACTTAAACATATCATTTTATTGATTTTGTAGCTTAACACGTGATTAAGGTATTATAAATGGGCCAATCAAAGTGCGAAGTTTTTAAGAAGCCTAAGGCAGGTTTACTTGAACCTAAGGGGTTAAATCGACTTTCCAACTAGCAGCCGATATAATATAAAATGGCCAGCTGGCTAATGCGGCTAATGGTCACGTGATCGTCAATTAATAACGGGATCGAATCTAATTTTCCGTGGATGCTTTAAATGCATATTCTGAAACTTTAAATGCTTTGTCCCCAAATTAGCCTGAAAAGACTCACGTGACCTGCCAAGCATATGACATTGGTCACGTGACCAAACTCTACTGTTTCGTCAGGTTTCATGGTTTCGTCAACCTTCATCAGTTTTGTCAGACATCTATACCCTAAATGCAATACCTCTCTAAATGCAAGATTGTTTAATTTATTCATATAGACCAATCAACAACCACTTGACCAAATTAGTACCCGGCACAAACAAAATTTGACAGTCAAATACTTGATCGCAGCTCAACTAATACTATATGGGGATGCCAGTAGAAACCAAGCAAATTGTTTCTAAGTAAATTTTTTTAAAACTTTAAAATAAAATATCTTAACTATCAAACAAACTTGATAAAAAAAATTTTTTATTTTAATTCTATGTAGTTATGGAATTAAAATAAAAAAAATTATCAAGTTTGGTTTAATAGTTGTTGAGATATTTTGATTTAAAATTTTAAAAAAACTCACTAAAAACAATTTTACTGGCATCCCCCATATATTTAGTTTTGGTGATCTGCGATCGTTGACATCTGACTTAATCACAAGTATTTAATTATCAAATTTTTGTTTGTACCGAGCATTAGACCAAATTTGATAGATTTTTTTTTATTTGAATTCTATAGATTTGTAGAATTCAAATAAACAATTTTTCATTGAATTTGATTAAATATATCTGAGATATATTTAATCAAAATTTTGATTTCGAAATATTTCCGGGTCCCTGATTCTGAAAAGAAAATGAGTGAACATAAAATACGGACAAGGTCGGCTAAATTTGGGAAAAATCCGTAAAGTAAGCCGTCTGGCTGATATGATAAACGATTCTTATAGTAACCAATCAAATATGTTTAACGCTGAAAAAAAATGACGCTGTGTTTTTTTATTCTTAAAAATTGATTGACATTTGTACAACCAAAATTTATTAATTATTATTATAAAAAGATTTCCATTCTTAGCGTTACGCATATGACGCTGGAAATTATAAATAATCGGTTTTTTTTTGATCTACAAAATGATCTTTGTAGTACCATAGTTTACATCGGAATACACTCATATGATTGGTTAATTTTTGTAGATCTACCCGTGATATCCTGACAATTACCAATCAAAA